TGCGAACGCACGAATGGACGGATGAACACACGAACGGACGGATGCTCGAATGAACGCATGGACAGACGAACGCACGGAAGAACTGATGCACGAACGCACGGACGGATGGACGCACAAAAGGACTAATGCACGAACGCATGCGTGGACAGACACACGGACGAATAGATGCACGGAAGGACGCACAGACGGACGGGTGGCGGACGGACCCATGGACGGAGGCACAAGTGAACGCTTCGCCCCACTCAGCATCATTCCCTCCATGGATATGCTGTGACACCGTTTTTATTCACATGCAATGCATTTCTATTGGCTTCTACGACTACGGTGACTACGATTGATATAATATATATGAGGTTGAACGTCCTAAAACCACCATAAGATTAATAGAGACGCCGTGGACGATGGCTCCGGAAATTTCGACCACCTGGAGTACTACGGGTGGCTACGACGTAGGCAGCGAGCACCCCAACGTCACCGACGAGACGCCAGGCGTCTTCAACACGCCCGCCACTCTGCTTCACCATTGGGAGAAGCGAGGATGGCTACTACGACGGTCGCGGGACTAACCCACACCCTAAGGAGCTTTGCTCCTAAAAAAAAAATGCTGGGAAAAGATGAAAGGGCTCGATTCCACGTGCTGCTGACTGAGCACAGAACGAAATGTTTGTCTGGCATGCACACGCTTATAACACTCAGCACCAGTTACGCCACAGCTAGTGCGAGCGTCAGTGTTGCCCGACTCTCAGTCCACTCTCGCATTTATAAAATATTCTGTGACAAATTAAACGCTCCACATAATGCACTGAAATTTCGCAAGTTTCTTTGTGAACGCCTAAGGGTTAACCCACATAACACACGTTGTAATCGCGAAAATGAATGTGCTGGTTCCTTTAAATTCAGATATGGGGTTTCACACGCCAACACCATGATTTGACTATGAGGTCGACTTCCCGATTGATTTTGACTATCCGGAGTAAATCCCAGTACATGGACGCCTTTGCTTTTCGCCATGCGGTCGGCGGGGCCAGGGATTGAACACGCGCCCTTGAACTTGGCCTTAGCCGGATTATGCATTTCATGACTCCTTGGCTGTTAAGTGGATGCCATGGTGTCAACGGTAAGTTAGTCTTCAGTGAATTATGAAGTGACCTGCATATTGAAATGTGGTGTTCTTTGTTCTATTCTCTTCGTCTATCCCACGCGTACCCTGTACTGTTGATGCCTATGCAATACTTATTCGCGTGAGCTTCATTAACATTATGCAATATTCATGCTTGCCCAGTTTTAAACTTTCTTCGCTTTATGCTTTCTTCGCGAGCGATTTCCACATGTAACCACCACACACCCAAGCACCGTTTGTGCACGCCCCTAAGGCTATTCTTCCTGTCGTGAGTTGATCTATCTATCTATCTATCTATCTATCTATCTATCTATCTATCTATCTATCTATCTATCTATCTATCTATCTATCTATCTATCTATCTATCTATCTATCTATCTATCTATCTATCTATCTATCTATCTATCTATCTATCTATCTATCTATCTATCTATCTGTCTGTCTGTCTGTCTGTCTGTCTGTCTGTCTGTCTGTCTGTCTGTCTGTCTGTCTGTCTGTCTGTCTGTCTGTCTATCTATCTATCTATCTATCTATCTATCTATCTATCTATCTATCTATCTATCTATCTATCTATCTATCTATCTATCTATCTATCTATCTATCTATCTATCTATCTGTCTGTCTATCTGTCTGTCTGTCTGTCTGTCTATCTATCTATCTATCTATCTATCTATCTATCTATCTATCTATCTATCTATCTATCTATCTATCTATCTATCTATCTATCTATCTATCTATCTATCTATCTATCTATCTATCTATCTATCTATCTATCTATCTATCTATCTATCTATCTATCTATCTATCTATCTATCTATCTATCTGTCTGTCTATCTATCTATCTATCTATCTATCTATCTATCTATCTATCTATCTATCTATCTATCTATCTATCTATCTATCTATCTATCTATCTATCTGTCTATCTATCTATCTATCTATCTATCTATCTATCTATCTATCTATCTATCTATCTATCTATCTATCTATCTATCTATCTATCTATCTATCTGTTTCGATAATGGTACTGCGATGTCACGGCCCTCTATGATCACGTGACAACTGAGACGATTGTAGCACAGCGTCGCTGCGTGTAGGCTACGCCCAGCCCGAAGCTCGCCACGGCCCTCCACGATCACGTGATGGGGGCCGCAACGTCACTACAATCGCCTCAGTATGTCGATAGCGCTTAGCCGTGTGAAATAGAAATAGGTCTTTATATTCAGGCTACTCCTTCGCGTTGCTTGTACCTTGACGCAACTTCCGCAGTACCCGATAGGGATATGTGAAAAGGGCGAGGGGGATCACTTGCCCCGTGTTGACAAATGAGCCGAGCGTCCTGACGAAGCTGTCCCGCACGACGATGTCTTCGCCGGTGGGGCGCACGTTTCCGAGGTCGGTGAGCAGCAGGCGCACGGTGCTGTAGTGGCCGGCGTCTTCACTCCGGAGGTACGACTCCTCGAACGAAGGCTTCGCGTTGAACACGAACCAGTGCACGGACAGGTCGCTGCTCGTCATTCGCTCGGCGAAGCGCCGCATGGGGCAACGGTACCGGACGTCGGCGTATGCCTCGCTCCGTGCAACATCCAAGTTGGTCGTTCCCAGTTCACGCTGCGTACAAGAACAGTGTCGGCCTAAACACTCAATGCGTGACAACTTCGAATTCAAACGCGTAAAGAAGCATTTGTTAGCTTAACGCTTATTTACAAAAAATATATAAATTTCTTATACTTAGTGGAAATGTCACAGTACACTGCCATACATCAGAATGGTATTTACGACATGAGCAGAACAATAAACGTGGCTATGACGCACAAAGTAATTGCACAGTATGTAATGTAACACTGAGCGTGAAAGAAATTTTACAAAAAATACTGCGAAACGTAAGAACGGTTTTGGTGATGAAGTGTATTCAGATTTACAAAAGTACTCTCTCAATTATTTGCGAGTCAAAGTGGTACCGACCAGCTGTCTTTGAGACGACTGCGCTACGTTTCTTTTTTGTATTTCAAAACGTGACTTTCATTTTATTAAGGTATTACAATGGTCGGAGCCAGAATAATATAAAAATATAAAATTTGATATTCGCAAAAACTTATAGCGCATGCTAAATTTTGGTTTATCAAGAAGTTGCCCCGTGGGATGAGAATGGGATAAGTTCGCTATTTGCGGAAGCGTGTGTTGGTGTAGCTGACGCCCACGGATATTATATACGTTGGCCCACACAAACGCACAGTAAAATATGGTTCACGCAAGGTATAATATATCGGTAATATCAGCCCACCTGAAAAAAAAATGCGGACAACGAGATAGCACACTACTGGCAGATGACAGTGATTTTGCTACTTATTCAGTGTGATGGCTCGCGGAATAATTTCATATTATTTTGTGATAATCTGTTAGGCTTCAGCAAGCAAACGCGAACAGCTGGAACAAACGCGGCCATCAGCGATAGCGCTCGAATGTTTGATGTCGTATCTATGAGTACCTATGCGCCCTCTGCGAAACAGATTGCCGATGGCCAACGCTTTCTTCGCCGAAATCAGTGCACAGCATGCATTGCTTGCTGTTGTTCGAGTTTTCGTTTCCCGGCCACAAGTTCAGCCAAATAAAGAGTTTCATCTTAACTTGAATACGCTGACTGCTGTTTACGTCAACGTCTCGATCCCATGACAGTATCTTTTTTAAAACGTAAAGCCTATAGTACTTTGTGTTACATAAACATTGCAATGGGAGCATTCAAGAATAGACTGATTTAGACTAGACTGCCTGTTTCTTGTCTTAAACAATATGGCGTTTGATTTTTGCTGTTGTTAAGTGTGCTAAATAAAACTGCCTTCATTGGCGGGACGTGGGTGGGGGGAGTCACGAACCTTTATATAACTTATTACTAGCCTTCGAGATTGTCATGTTACACTCCCTTCCAGTTTTTTTCCCTATTCCTGTACACCATTGCTGGCAATGAGCGAGTCACTGCTATGCACACGGCGGGGGCTGCACAAACATAACGTGTTGTTGCTGCGTACAAAGTGGTGACTTTGATCGCAGTTCACGACGTCCATATTTCAATGTGCAAGGAACTGAAAAAACTATGAACCATTTCCCCGAAAGAAAAACCTTATGGGATGCGAAGCAGCAGTGGTGCGCACGGCGTTGGCCCGGTTGAAACGGGCGTCGACACGCGTGCTAAGAATGGTTTGAAGCGAGACTCGGCGTAGCATTTACTCACGTAAACGTTTGTTTGAAACTCAAAGACACGGAAGGTGGGTTGGGTTTCGTGTATGTGTCATCGCAGACAAGCGAGCCGAAAGAGTACTTGCACTCGAAGTTCGGTCGAGCATTTCGGGCGGTCGAGAGGGTGGAGTGAGAGAGAAGTGTGTTGCGAGTGAGCGGAGAAGCCGGCAGCTGCGGGCGCTGCGGCGAGCGTGCTGTGAGTGAGGGAAAGAGTAACGTCAGGGTGCATCTGCGATAGAAGCGTGCGAGGAGAGGGTGACATGAACGCGCATCTGCGGCGTGACCTACTTCGCACCGCTCCAACACCTGTGGCGATGAAAACGCGCCACGCGTTCGTACGGACGCACGTACGCATAGTGTTACACACGTGAGTCAAAGAGCTGCTTCGTGTCTAAAATAGTTTGAGACATAAAATTGCTTGTTTCAACAAAGGACGATACCTTATACAAAGAAATAATTTCTCATTTGCGCTTATTTTTGGTCGTTCAACTTAAGTTTTCAAGCAGGCTTACTTTTCATAAAAGCAGGATTCTGAGACCAACCTGGTAATTGTCTAGAAAAACGGAGACATTGTCTACGCCCTGGGAAGTGAGCCAGTGATACATCCAATCCTCGGACATGTGGTGCTGCGTCGTCATCCGGCCCACTAAGTGGGAACCTCGTCGGAAGTGGTTCCCAAGAGAAGCGACCCGCGTGGTCTGTTGATTTGCGACTCGTTCGCAGCAGGGATATCGTCCATGCTTGTGTAAGGATCCTCGAGGCGTCCGTTGAGCCCCCTCAGCCGGGGTACGAGCACCGAGGACGGAAACCTTCTTAGACACGGCAGAATCTCCTCCACGGAACTGACCTCGTCGAAGCTCTCGCACTGGACACGGCGGGCCAGAATACGCATGTTCTTCGTAGTCACATCGGCGTTTTTCATGTACCTGCGTAAGCGTTGTAGAAGCATTTGTTGCCCTCTTTGAGATTTACTCTAGAAAGCAAGTGGCAGACGAGAGCTTCCACGCAGTTTCATTCATAGGCTTTGTTAAAACCACTGCTAATAACAATAATTGTTGAGGTTTCGCGTCCTAAAACAATATAGGACGGACGCCGTAGTAGAAGGCTCCGAAGACTTCGACCAACTCTTAAGGGTTCTTTAACGTGAACTTAAATCTGAGTACATGGGCATTTGGCCTACATCGAAGAGCAGCCGCGTGGTCGGAATTCGATCCCGCGACCTTCGGACATACTTCTAATGCTTAAGACGATGCCGGTGAGTTTAAAGCGTAAAACCTGTCTTGTGTGTGATATGCATCTCCGAAATGGTTGTGGCGTTAACCGGCATGATTAATAAAAAAACTGTTGCTAAACGCGTGAAACATACCCGCACAAATGCGTTCCAAGGATGCATAATTAGGGTATGGCTTCACGATCACGGTAAATACAATTTTGATGGCTCCTTCAATGTAACCGGGGCTTTGAAGTGAAAGTGGTTGGTTTCGAAGGCAGTAAACAATTCGCTTTCGACTCAAGCCTACAGTCATTGCTTTCTAAGGCTCACACATCCGAATTACGCAATGTGTGAAGCTTTTCTCTTGCGGAGGCCTCACCGGGCGTAAGGGCTTCCGCTAATCATGACGAAGCGCTGCACGTCCGCGATTTCGGGCTGAGTGCCGAGTATCCAGTGGCCAACAGACGCGGCTCCTGCGCCATGTCCTGCGAGAACCATGCGAGACGCGTTGCCGCCGAAAAAGCCCACGTTCTCTCTCAGCCAGCGGACGGCAGTGAGCTGGTCGCCCAAACCCAGGAACAGGAGCTCGGACTCATTCCCCGTGGAATGACCTAACAGACCGAGCCTGTAATTGGGTATGGCAACCACGGCGTCTGCCTTGGACGACAGCACGGCACCGTCGTACACCCTGTACACGCACCAGGGAAGCGTCATAAAGAACGCGTAGATTGCTTGTTTTGCAATGGCAGTTACACGGACACTCCAAGTTAGAGTTCGACGTAGGTGCTGGCATATGGTACTCTATACTAAGCCAAAACGCATTAAGACGCGCTTCAAAAGAGTTGACTGTTGGGCAAGTTGGTGTTTTGACATATAACGATCGTGAGAGTTCAACTACACGCTTGTCCTCGTCTGTTCTTTCTCGTGTGTCCTGCGTAGTTGTGCTCTCACGATGGTTTCTATGGCAATAAGAAACGTTCTCGCCAGCGCGCGCAGCCATGGAATCAAGGAAAAGTCCTATGCACGGTAGACGAAGAGCACATTCGGGCAGGATATAGGCGAAGCAAGAACGTTAGGGGAATAGCCAGATTTTGTGCTGCTTTTTTTTTTGGGGGGGGGGGGGGGTTCCATTACTATATTATGTTTTTGCGTGCGTTTGTGTATGCGCCTCTACATATACGCTTGCAAAACTGAAACATTTTGGGCCGAAAGTTCAGATGCTCAACTTAAGAGCCTCGCTCACATGCTACGCCAATGCTGGGCACGCTCAGAAATCAAATGAAGAAAAACATGACAACTGTATTGTTTTTACGCGCAGGGTTAAACTTTCCTAAATAATCTAACGTTCTTTAACATCGGTTGACCCCAACATTCCCGCACTTTATGCAAAAATGGGAACTTGAAACACGAACAAAGTGATAACGCACATTTCACACGAAGAGAGTTGGCCGTGAGTAAAAGCATGAATTTCAGTACGCGCCTGTTTCCACCATGGCTAAAATCTCCTCCGTGAAAGAACACGATGACGGGGCGAGTTCCACAGTCCCGACCCTGGAACAGGCACTGCATGTCCGGAGTCCACAGGCTCAAGTATAGGCAATCTTCAGATGTCCTCTCGAGATCAATCTGCATCCAGCTCGGGGCAATCGTGCTGTCTTGAGGGCAGGGGAGGGCTCGCTCGACGAAATTAATCCGCTTGGGCCAGGCATTGTTCAGGTGCGCTGAAAAGTTACAGTCAGCTGCTCTCCAAACCCGGCAGTTCATTGGCTACTATCTGGTTAGATTCCAGTTGAAGTTGTTAGAGCGAAATGTTAATGATTGTGATTTACTCCTGTTTGTGTGCGTGCTCATGCGCTACTCAACCTTTTATAATGCGTCGTAGTTAACTGCAATAACGTGTTGCGTGGATGCCACATCTGCGTATTGTTTATGGTTCGTGTTGTGGGGCTGATAACACCCTGTAAGGTTTTTTTGCACCTCATGACACACGTGTCTCGCGCATAGACCACATTTCGGGCTCACAACTATGATTGATATGTGGGGTTTAACGTCCCAAAATCACCATATGATTATGGGAGACGCCGTAGTGGAGGGATCCGGAAATTTCGACCACCTGGTGTTTTTTAACGCGCACCCAAATCTGAGTACAAGGGCCTACAAAATTTACGCCTCCATCGGAAATGCAGCCGTCACAGCCATCACAGCTGGGATTCGATCCCGCGACCTGCGGGTCAGCAGCCGAGTACCTTAGCCACTAGACCACCATGGCGGGGCTTGGCTCATAACTACACCGAATGGTAGGTGGTGTTGTGCCCGCGAGTGTTTGTTATAGCCATCATCATCATCATCATCATGGTTGCTATAACGGTAGTGCTGGTGGTGACGCCTGGTGGAAGGCCAGCGTGGCGTATCAAAATGGGAGAAAGCACCACGGTCTCGGAGTGAACGGACACAGTAGACGCGGTCGGAACAAACCAAACAACACACATTCATTTAACTGCGTTTAGAACAACGATATAGTCAGCCAAATTATTATAACATCAATTGGGGTCAACACGCTATAACAGCTTTACACGGAGTTACACCACACTCAACAACCTACCAAACACAAGAACACACACAAGGCGGTTTCGCCAACCCCCGTCTTACCACAAGGGCACCGGCGTGCAACCCGCGGTGCCGCGCACCCGGGTCCCACAGCTAGAGACAACCGTTCGCGTTGACCGCTCCACGCCAGAGAAACTTACTCCTCTCTCCTCAGCAATTACCAAGCTTCCCGCCAGGCGCCACCGCCGGTGCTACCGTTTTAACAACCGTGATGATGGTGGTGGTGATAAACGCTCGCGAGCACAACGCCACCCAGTGATCGGTAGTCGCAAACCTGAAAGGCGGCCTATGCGCAAAACACGTGTACCACGAGGCGCAAACAACTTTGCAGGGGCGATAGCACCCGCACAGCGTGTATGTCTTGGTGCTATATTTACAACCTGGTCGTCTAAACGCGATTGTCAGAATATAATGGGTCTGCGCGGGAACGTAAAGCCAAACGGGGCTATAGAGCGTAAGGGCGAGGAGGACTCAACAGTCTATTATTTCTCGCCTAACCTGGCGCTGTATCGCTTATGATATCACCATATCGGACTGGTTGAATTGTAACTACAAGTTCTTACCACCTAGAGGCTCGGTCACCTGGGACGGTTGGAAACGCAATTTGCCCACCGGTGGCACGGCGAAAGGAATTCCAAGGTAGCGAATGACCGGCTGCCCACCGTGCACAAATATTTGGTCGCCTTGAACGTGACCGAACTTGGATGTCAGCGAGAACGCGTAGTTGCCTTGACGTGTCACTAAAAACTGCGATATGGCGAGGGACAGCAGGATCAGGCAGCCGATGAATATCGCCAGCTTGCAGGCGTGCGAGTTAGTGCTGCGAATTAATCAATGACACACCGTTGTAACACTTGATATGTGGGCTTTAACGTCCCAAAACCACCATATGATTATGAGAGACGCCGTAGTGGAGGGCTTCGGAAATTTCGACCACCTGGGGTTCTTTAACGTGCGCCCAAATCTGAGCACACGGGCCTACAACATTTTCGCCTCCATCGCAAATGCATCCACCGCAGCCGGGATTCGAACCCGCAACCTGTGGGTCAGCAGCCGAGTACCTTAGCCACTAGACTACCGTGGCGGAGCAACTTGAAACTCTCTCTTTTTTTCAATGTCCGTGCATGGCCTTACATTTTTAACTGGGTCGTTTTTCCGACCCACCTCACGGGATGGAATTTCGCCCGTGGCAGCCAAATTTTCGATGGAAGCAAAAATACTTGAGGCCCGCGTGCTTAGATTTAGGTGCACGTTAAAGAACGTCAGGTGGTCAAATTTCCGGAGCCCTCTACTACGGCGTCTCTCATAATCATATGGTGGTTTTGGGACGTTAAACACCTACAATTGTTATTTTCGCCTATTTGAAAACTAGGTAAATTGTGGTAATAAAATGTTCCCTAAAAGTGGTTCAGATATGTTTCCGCAATTGATTACTTAAGTAAACGTGTTCTAACATATAAAATGAGCGTATCCAGCGTGCAGGGCAAACAACAGAACTCGCATAGGTCAAAGCTATTTAACGCCCATCAATATGAGCCGACTCGAAGAAGAGATGCAAAAGCGTGCGTGATATAGATAGTGATGCATGGGTCAATACAGTTTCAGGCGTGAGCAGTCGCCGATGCACAAGTAATATCACACGAGAAGAAAACTACCATGATGTCCTGCGGCAGATGCTGCCTAAATTACAGATGATGGGAGCACCGACGCCAACCACATTACAGAGAGGAGAAGCTGGGGAGGGAGGGGGGGGGGGGCTCCACGGGCTATCTTGACCGCTGTTAAAGGCTGTAGTGCTTTTTGCTGCAAGATTGGCGTAACCGTCTACGGTATGAACAGAACATGCGTAAAGATCAAAGACGCTTCTACAGACAAATTGGAGCATTGTAAGAGGAACGATGTTTTACTGATGCTATATGCAATTTGGATACCGATTCGAATTTTAATTGCATGTAAAGGTAAACAACAACACATGTTTCCTGCAAAACAGATAAGTATTGCTGTGATCGTCACAAGTGGACTAAAAGAGCTAGCCCGTGGTGGAGATTACAACTTATTATCACGCTTACTCTTCCAGCTGTCACGGATCGGGAGTCGCTGTATACGCTGACGTGTTGCGTGGTAAGAAACGAGAAGAAACAAAAACAGAGATGAAAAAAAAAAACCTGCCATTTTCAACCAAGTTCATTTTTCTGAAGCATTTGCAATATAAACGCTCTTGGGAGACTTGCGCAGAACATTTCACTCACTGAATGTGCAGGAACGAACAGATGACGTATCAAATATCGCAACCATGATATCTGAGAACGAGCAACAAACAAAGAGATCCTAATGTAAAGGCGTCGAAAGAAGAAGACGAAAACCCAAACCTGGGCACAGATCAATGAAAAAGAAAATCGACAGGTGTTTTGTAACAAAAGCAATCTACAGCCCATCTAGATTGGAAAGTTGGAATTCACTGTTATGCAGCAAAACCTTGTCGTCTCTTCTCGTTTCTAACAGCGTGGCGCGTCTTTCAAGTAACCGTGGACGTACGCATGGAAGAAGGGCAGGGTAGGGGGCGAGAGGGAGGTGCAAACCCGTCCCCAAACATTGGCATTAAAGAAGAGGGCAGGGTGATGAACAAAACTTTACGCACGTTTATGCAAGTAACGATGTACCAGTCGGCATAACCAACAAGCACAACATTCTATTACATTGTATTACGCCGCTGTACCATGTCCTAGGGCATCTGCGTCGTGAAGCTGGTTGCAACAAATACAACTTATCCTGCTTGTAAGCGTCTGTTTCACCTACCGGTAAACTCATTCGGTATATAGCAGTAGTAAGAGTGATATGTTCGCGAAGCGGCCAGATGGCCCTCTGTCGGGGCTGAAGGTGACCTCTTGTGCATTTGCTGCGACCCGAACATCTACAGTCTGTTCCACACTTAGGGGAAAACTCGTAGGGTGTGACCTCGCGATGCGGCAATGATGTGGCCAGCGCGGCAGCAGCTCGCGCGTGCGCAGACGCTTGAGGGACATTGTGTTGAACGGTTGAACCGCGTCGTTGGCTACGGCGGCGCGCACTGGCCGCATTGTCTAAAGTCCCTTACTCAGGTAGCGGGTGAATTTCATCGTTGCCGTGGGAACTGGGCCAATATTTCTCATCGTCTCACAGTACGGATGAGTGCCGTTCGAAATAAGCGGCGTCATCGCAGCCGCTCGTGCATTTCGGCGCCCGCCAGTGAGTGCTGCCTCAAGTGATGAAATGTCACCGAGAAGCAGCACGTACAGTGCTCAACTCGCATCTATAACGACGGAGCGTCGTGCGTGGAACAGCGCGAGCGTCATCTGTAGTCGCAAATACGCCACATCTGAGTACGCTATTCACCCCGTTAATGTTCATTTAGTAGCCAGCATCCAACGAAACTTAAGATTATTACGAATTTTCAGGCTGCCCAACTGAGACTACGGAGCTCACCCAGAGGGAGCAGCGGGCTGTGGAGGCGCCTTGTTGGTCGCTCGGTTCTCCGGTATAGAACAGCTGCACGCGAAGTCGTACGATAGGCAGCTACTGTCGCCGATGAGCGGCTTTCGCACGGGCATCGTCGACAAGGGGGCAGCCATCACCGAAGAGGCACTTGGCAGAGGGGAAGAGCTTTCGGGCAAAGGTGGGGAGCTGTCTAAGTGGGCGGCCGAGCCCGACGGGCTGTGCCGAACGGGCGCCGCCGTCGAATGCCTGCAAGCCGAAGTGCTCCGCTTTCTCGACGCTGCGCTGGCACCGTCGTGTGCGTTGCAGAATGGCGTCATGTGCTCACTGGGTTCGTACAGCGGCGACAGATCGCACGAAGTCGGCAGGTCTTCCTGCATGCTGTTCAAATCATTGGTTGGCTGGTTGACCCTTGTTAAACTGGCGCAACCCACCATGGGCGATCAGCCATGAAATGGACGATGCGTTGTTATAGAAATGAGTTTGTTTATAATCTCAAAATGTTTAGCAATAGATAGTTTTTAAAACAGCTCATTAGCTTACAAACCTTGTTGTTGTTGTTGTTGTTGCCCCTTCGCACTGGCACATACCCACTATGGGGGATTGGCCATGAAATCTAGAAGTATCCTATATGAGATATATTAAAAGGTTTATCCTTAATGAAAAAACTAATGATGTAATAGAAAATAATAATTAACTAAAAAGGAATATTAAACTAAACAAATAATTGAAGATTGAATCAAGAAGAGAAAAGGTGAGGTAATACTACAGTGGAAGACAGAAATTTTGAGTAGACCAGACAATCGAGCTTATCTCACCCGGTCACAATCAAATGAATATGCAAATTTCATTCAAAATTAGACAAGTGTCTTCAGAAATATATTTAAGCCTTCCCAACAAACCTTCCCGAGGCCTCGTCTTCTTCTTCTCTTACACGCACGTGACGCGGTCAAGTGTATGGTTTTTCTTCCTTTTCTTTCTTGCTGATATCACCTTACAGATTGTTCGAAAACAGTGCCACACGGTTATTGTGTTTCTTTATTTCTTTATTGCTGACCGTAAAACGGCTTTTCTCTTGCGATGTAGTCACCAGTCTCGCGCCAATACATGTGGCAAGTTGCGTCCTATCCACCGAACTAATGACATATCTGAACCTCTTATATAGTAATAATGGTCAGCAATAAATACGGACCCTTCTTTTATTTTGCCTGGCTTCTACGACATAGTCGGTGATTACGCTCCTTCTACACCTGCTCGAGCACTACTCAACGTCCTACAGCTTATTTGATTTCTCGTTTTCAGGAAATATGAGCAAATGAGTTTCTCTCTTGCTTTTTTCATTTAGTAAAGCACTTGTGGAGGTTGGGTCGTTAATTTTTCCTATTTAAAGTTATAAAGCGGAGATGAACCTGACGCACAATTATGTTCTTGATTGATGACTACAATAAAGACCAGCATTTTCTAGGATGTGGTGAATGAGACAAGGGTCTAATTTTATAAGTGGTATAGCAGTACAGAAATATAATCTCCGTGACATTCCGCCTTTCGTGTATGGCGCAGTGAATGGACGTTTGAAAACACCATGGCTACTGCTAATTATGCAAAACTACAAAAGCCACGAAACGTCACAATCGAAAAAAAAGCAGAGCAGTAGAAACAGAGACAGGGAGCAGAGACGTGGCTCTGCTTTTTCCGATTTCGACGTTCTGTGGCTTTAGAAGTTTACTAAGTATGTACCAACTTGCCCAACAAGCAACTCTGATAATTGATTATGATAATGATGATGATGATGATGATAATGATTCTACAGCCATGGCTTGTACCCACTCAGGGGGATTGGCCAAGAATCGATGACTTAATTCAGTGAGACTTTTTTTTTAATATTGACTATCGAAACAAACCACCACAGGAAAAAAAAGAAAAAAGGCGCCCTAGTTAGAATGAAAGGAGTGCAATAATTGTTTGTCACTCGTTCAGATCAGACAATGCATTAATTACCTTAAATAGGACTTAGCGTGGTTAAACAAAGCTCCTGTTTATGTTGTAATATTTCTGCAGAAATAATAATCAGACAATTAAACGTTTAATTCTTTTACTTTCATTGAGGTACTTGCAAACTGCATCAAAAACGTTCTCGTGGCTGAAGCCCAGGTCGGAAGCTCCGAAGGAAAGTATATTTTCTATTGTGTGCTCTGCTTCTTCTTCTCCTCATCTTAATTAGGTGTCGATCAATTCGACGCGCTTTTGTCTACTACGTGCCAGTGTCGTGCATGTATAGCATGGTTATACAGTTTTATCGCAACAACGAGTTTATTGTTGACTGTATATAGAATGCACGGTGTGAAGGCTGCACTCATTACATTTACAAATACGTCCGGTATTCCGAAAATCACCAGCTTATTATCGCATTTATTAATTGCACAGAGAACCTGGGTTGGTGGAGCCCTGGGCGGGCTCTCACTACCAACAACTGTGTTACTCTTGCAGTACCAATATATACGCATTCTGAGAAGGAAAAAAAATAACAAAAACAAGAGGAGGGGGATAAGATATTCTAGCAGATCAGCACATGCCGTGATTATAGTATAGAGTGGAACGCACAACTGCGTCGATAGTTAATATTTTTGTACGTCTGTGCGCATGTGCTCGTAAAATATCTCTATCCTCTGTTTTATCTTTTGCATGCTGCGTTCACTATGGTATTTCATAAATAAGCGCACTTGTTGGTAGACAGCACTAGCCCTGTTTTGGTTTTTCTCGTTTTTTCATTACTGTGAGTGTGATACCAACACGTTCAAGTTGGCACGCTTCTGGAATAGATTTAGGAACCTTATATTTATAAAGAGAGGGACAAAAATCTCGTCTCGCATTTATCCGCCTTTTTAGCTCGTTTTAGAGTTGTGAATAAAGAAAGCATCGGCGCAAAAACAGACACAAGATAACAGGATCACAAAGCCAGATGTTTGGGCTTCGTCGTTTTCGTCTGTATTTATGATTTCGCATGATTTTTATTCCTATAAGACGGATCTCTATGAACTGCAGAGGAGCTTTCTATGGTCGTCTCCTTCACAGATATGTACGGCAGTTTCATAAACTGGAGCCGTACAGAGAGTCCTCGCATCCGCCAGAAGTACTAGAGGCGTGTGTTTGGCGACTCATACTTTCGGTGGAATACAGCATCAGCAGCAGCTGCTGCACGATCCTGTTCCTACGTAGTATTGTGATATGACGTCAGCACTGACCGTGTGGCGTAAGTGTGAGTTCACCTTCAATGCAGAGCACTTGCTAGTTAACGTATGAAGCGGAAATCAGCGAGCGCTGGTTACAAAAGCTATGCGCGTATATTAGCTATTCAAAAGAAGTGCTGGCAGATGGTTTTTCAACGATAGTTCGTGAATGTTGAGTAATAGTTGTTGGGGTTTCACGTTTGAAAACTACGATATGATTATGAGAGACCCCATAAGCAGTGAAGTGTTCCGGAAATATGCACGAATTTTCAAACCAATTTCAGGACTGTGGCACATTTTTCGGGTGCGTTCATAATAAATTAGCATTTAACAGAACATTGATTGTGCCACGGCATTTCACCCTTCAGTCTCTGAAACGTGATGCACAAATGCGAAGTAGGGTAGCTTCAATCACTCGAACAGACAAAAAATTATTTCAGTTTGCACAACGAAAAAAAATTCCATTTTTAATTTTGGATTTCATATTGACTTTAAGGCACGTATATAGTTAGCATTAACCTATGTTTTCCGCTGATCGAGATACTGCATGCTTTTGCCCCCAAAAAAGTAATTCAAGTTCTAGGCATTTCGTACGTCACATCAGCACGAGGAAATGGTTCGCACTTATGATTCGCATTAATAATAACACAGAAAAGTTATGACATGTCGAATAGAGAACTCGAACTCGTAACAGGACAGCCTCCGCAGGCGCAACCAGAGCGTGGTGATAGAAAAGAATTAAGCCTGACTGTATATCGACGAAAGTGCGATAACAAGCTCCCGATCTCTTCTCTCCTATCCATATAGAGATCCTCCATTTTGCTCCTGTTGCCTTTCTATAGGAGTGCAGCGACCGGAACCATTCATGGTCCACAAACGAACCATCCTTTCTTTTTGTGCGTGGCATGATCCGAGTCAGTCAATATACCTTACAATGGCACAATCGAGCTGCAACAAACAACGGTGGAAGTGATTTACGCTAAGAAACCCGGCGGGCGCCGATTCTTGCACTCCTTTTCATCCTCTCTCGCGCAGCTCGTCTTGGGCGTATGCGCACACAATGTACGGCAAAGATCTTCAATAAGTGGCGACGCGATGGCGAAGCTCGCGAGACTATAGAAAAGAGCGAGTTGTCGGGGTGATAAGGCGAGCTCGCACAAAGACTGTTGGCACAAAGAACACATTCTGGCGCCTCTCGGTGTTTCCCGGAGGAGGTGTTTTCGAACGGCCTGGTGCATCGAGGGCAACGGCGGATCGATATGGTGGAGCAGCGAGAGAGACCTTGCCTGCTATACACACACGGTGGCGCACGGAACCGGTGCGTGGCCTTAATTGTCATCGTCCGTGGCTCTTTACGTGTCCGAGTTGTTCCAGTACACTTCTTATAGGGGTGCGGTAAACTGCCCGCCTTTCGCACCTGCTGGCTAAGTATGATACATTAGGCGAATACGTCAGTGCGTTTTTCGAGTGAACCGCTGATGAAACTGATGAATGAGCAAACAGTTACGCAGACGTATACGTTCGAATTAAACCGTCATAGAAACAGCGCGATGATGGTGGAACGATCCTTAAACGTCGGCGTATTCTTTACTGCGATGATTGTGAGTGTGATAAAGTGGAGTTATTTGAAGGCAGCAAAGAAAAAAAAAGGATCTGTAACACTCTTGCAACACATCAGGGTGAAAGACGGGACTTCCTTGTCTTCGTCATCCTACTCACACGTGCTGTCATAGACGCACTATAGCACCGACAAGCACTTTTTTCACAGTGGGGTACTTGTGTGGCTGTTCCCGTAAGCCACAATGGCGGACATGCTCCGTCCCTGCTCTTGACACTGCCGACTACAGATTCATCTGAAACAGCCAATGCCGAAGTGACTGCGTCTGGTTTCACGTAAATGCGTGACCCGCAAGTTTGTGCGCAGACACCTTCACACCGTGAAGTATACTCGGGAGAAGGCGTCGGCTATGCGCGCATAGAATTTCTTTTTTTTTTCAATCAGAGCTGTTTCCAAGAATTTTTTACATATACTCCAGATGCTTTGGCCTTAATAATTATACAAATGGGCCCTCAAAGTCATGGGATCTCTCCACTGACACAATGCGACGGCAAGTACTAGACGAAGATTCACGCTTATCGTCATTCCGCTTCTCATTCAAGTTATGTTTGACGTTGCATAATTATCGCTTGCCGTCAGTGTCATCGCCAAT